CAACTAAAGGTGACATAGATACTTTATTATGGTGTAGTACTTAAATATAAGCCTGAGGAACACATAATATTGCCCCTTTAAAATTTGACCTAAACATAAATTTATCTTAGTTTAAAACTTAGACATGGATGGTGCCAGGTGATGTGCTTCCTTCAAGGAAAAATAGACTGTTAATTATCTAATGATCTCATCTGTTTCACTAGGTGAATAAACAAGTTTTCTTCTAAGTTTRGAAAAGAAAGAGAAAAGAAAGATAGTTCCCACCATCAACCAGTTCTCAACATGGAGTTAAAATATTCTACACAAAAGGGTTTTAAGCTTTTATTTCTCTTGTCCCTCATTTATTGTTGTTTGAGCATGTGATGAGGATTTATTTTTTTTCTATGCACTGTGAAACATTACTTACACATCAACCAGGATGACCATGTCTTTGGGGGATGATGCCCCCTGGATGTACCTGTAATAAGAACAGAAAAAAGGTCCTTYAAATCTGTTTAACACATCCACAGGGTTTCAAAGTGCCTCGGCGTACCAGGGCCTCCTCCTGACGTCGTACAGGTCAATTTTATCAGGGGCTTTCCAAGGTGTGGCTGCAGAAAAGTAGACAGAATGGAGTTTTAAGCCTGATCAGATAACAGGTAACACATCTCACTTCATTTGTYACACGGAGGCAGCTGTAAAACCCTGACCTGGGTAGTAGCGAGTGACTCCTGTCGCGCTCCCAAACGCCTGCCACAGCAGGGACGGATCCTCCCGACTGTTCTCCATGAACACTCTCTCCAAGGCCTGTGTCCAGTTTAGCTCATTCAGAATGACTGTGGCTAAAAAAAAAAAGAGACGACTTTAATGTGAGTGCTGCCCAAACACACAGGAAATGTTTACATCTTTCTACATATAAGCAACCTTAGAGTCAGTGTGGGGGTGACCCTGTTTCCTAGTGAGACTGAATTAATTATAAATTAATTCATTGACAAAGATCATTTACAGACAGTAGGTAATACATATAAATATGACCATATAAAACTACTACAAGAAGAGTTTGTAATGTTTTGAAACCAATTTTAAAAATCTATGAAAGTTTTAGTAGAATTTGACTTAAAGAGATCAGGCCCACTGAAATTAAAAGCTTACAGCACAAAACAAAATGATGTTTACTATAAGAATAATACATCAAAAACACATCTTTCCAGACTGCTCTCTTGAAAAATGACATAATTGGAGCACAACTTGCCTCCTTTATAGATATCTGTTGGGATCTGAACAGCTGTGTGGGAAAAGTTGACGCTGTTTTTGAAGTTCGGGTCGTACACAAACTCCAGCTTGAGCTGCGAGGGATTATCCATCTCCACTTCTCCATCAATGGAGTTCTGTCAGAACCAGTCAGCGCACAAATAATACACATTACTCTTTGCTTTACACAGACTGAAAGACATTAAACTAATAGTTGAATTAGAGTATTTTTTCTCCTCTCACTCACATAATCCAGCTCTGCTTTAGAGTCATAGTAAGCCATGTCCAGCTCCTGGAGGGAAACAGATGGAGACGTGAGGAGGCAGCACTGAGGACCAGAGCTGACGTGCAGCTGGCAAATGAGTCTCTGGACTCAGAGAGCAATTAGGATGTGTTTATATGTTGGTATGTATTAAAGATAATCATTTTAAACATACAATACACCAATTAGAAACAAAATTTTAAAGTAGGAGGTGAAGAGTTGCAGGAAAAAGCGACAAAAATAAGTAGTTTTTCTTTAAAGCTTGCATATCACCATCAGCTTGCACATTGAAATTCTAAACAAATATTCTGTATAATTTGTTAATGTTTAGAGTATGTCCAGTGGATTACTCACAGCTTCAACCACACCTATTTTTATCTCAATACCTGTTTTAAAAAGTCTGGGTTATAGTCATTTTTGTGTTTGCTGCCATCTATGTAAACAAATCAGTTTTCTAGCCTTTCTGATATTGCAGTGTCTGGTTGTGTGAGGATGCTAATGAAGAAGAAGATTTTGTGAACGTGGGAAGAGAACCAAAATCTACTGTGGCTTTCCAAACAACACGCCAAGGGCTTCACATGATTGTCACACTAAAAAAGGCTGGGTTATTTCCACTAACCAACTGCTGGGTTATGAAATTGTTAACCCAATATGAATTATTTTTATGGGAATTGGGTTATTTTTATGGGAACTGGGTTGTTTTTGTGCAACTCATGCGCTGGGTCAAACWCTTAGTCAAAATTCATCAACCCAACATGCATCSGTTTACCCAGCACHTGGGTTGTTTCTGTTTGGAACGTCATCACGTTGACAAAACGTGCTCCTCCTCCACCGAACCACACCCGCCACCCAGACAAGCTCCATGCTCCTCGAGCTCACACACGTGCTGGAGAGAAGTTGACTGATCATCTTTGTGGTGAAGCAAATCACTGAAACAAGGTTTCATTTGTATTGTAAGATTTGCTCCTGAACTGAGTATAGAAGTGGGTAGYCTAGCAATTTATTTTCTGAAAGATTGTACTATAATGTGTTACAATTAATCTGTCATTTCGGTTAATTTGACCAAGCATTTGGATAGTTAACTGAACAAATATGGTAAAACCTAGAATTTTAACTAATTTGGCCCAGTATTTGGGTAGATTAAATAACAAATAATGTAGTTGAAGCAACCCAGGATTTTAATTAATTTGACACAATATTTGGGTAGATTAAATAACACATAATGTAGTTGAAACAACCCAGAATTTTAATTAATTTGGCCCAGTATTTGGGTAGATTAAATAACAAATAATGTAGTTGAAGCAACCCAGGATTTTAATTAATTTGACACAATATTTGGGTAGATTAAATAACACATAATGTAGTTGAAACAACCCAGAATTTTAATTAATTTGACCCAGTATTTGGGTAGAATATTTTAACTCAACCGTTGGGTTATAACAGGTCAACCCAACTTGCTGGGTCAAATTAACTACTGCTGGGCTGGTGCTATACTGACCCAGCAGTTGGGCCAAAAATAACCCATATTGGGTTATTTTTAGCCCAACTGTTGTTATTATCTACAAAAACGTCTAAACAAGTATGAGCTTTTAAAATGTTTAATTAATTCAGAATTACAAATTCACTGGTTTGCATCAGAAAATGATCTATCACAGCTCTGCGGTTACTTTTTTTTTTTTCACAAAAAAGACCATTTGTCCATTAATAAGGGACTCTGTACTAATCAGGCCATTCATAAAGTTTAATCTGTTTCCAACAAATGCAATTTAAAAGTCATCACAACATAAAACTTAGATTTAAACTAGTTTCTCACAATAACAAATAAAACCTACAAAAAATGTCAAGGTATAAACCGTAAAGAAGTGGGAAAATAGAAATATATTTTTTGTGTATTCGTAAAGTTGTATCTACAAAACGGTGTATTGTTCAGCTGCGTTTTCCACTCAGATCTGACATGTTATGATTCAGTAGACAGGCTGTGAGGCTTGTGTGGAGCATCGCCATCTGTTAGTCTTTAGTTTCTGAAGAGGCCTAACAAACTTCAGCAGAACGTGTGACGTCTCTGCTCAGACGTGTTCCTGTTTCTGGAGTTTTTTGATCGCTGAATGATGTCATCAGTCAACTCCACCGCCGGTTTTATCATTTACCAAAACCCAAGATGGTCTCAGTCTGCTGTCTGCCCTTGTGTGCCTGAAAACAGCCTCTCCTTTATGCTTCACAGGGTTTGTCTTTGAAGATATTCTGCTGCGATCACTCATTCACCTTTAACCATATGACACAGCTCATGCACCAGGAACAATGTGCAAACTGTGACAAGTGAAGCAATGATTTAAAGATTATTATGGGATGATTTTATTCATTGTATATACAGTAAATATTAATTTAATGTACTATATTGTTGTGATTTGGAGAAAGTGTAATTTTAGTGTTATGTTTCGTGGGATACGCTTTGTTAAAATTCTAGGAAATGTGTGATTTTCTTTGTTGCTGTTGCTGCTGTGGCTTGGTTTTTAATTTTGTTTTCAGTTGGGCTTTTATTTCAACAGATCATTCTATTTCAAATTCCAAAAAAAGACCTAAATCTTTTATTTGAAACACTGAAGGTAAAAAAAAAACATTATAGAAACAGAACAGGAACAGACTAAAATGTGATTTCTGTGCATGCGCTTCAAATGTAGAAAACAAGTTATTTACASTTTTACCTTGATAGCATCCTGCCATAGATGCTCTCGCTGGAGCCTTTCTGCTTCACTGGCTAACCTCTGTGGGTTGTAAACATACAAATAATCACAATACAGCAGAAAGAACAAAAACGTGTCAGAGTTTCAGACCGAAATTACAAAGTGACACAGGAAGGTTTGCAGTACATCTCAACAAGTTTGTGGCGTTTATAAAAACTATTTTATAAAATGTTCAAACAGGAAGAATATGATTAAATAACAAAAAAATACTGTCTAATGCAGGGGTTCTCAAACTTTTTGGGCCTGGGGACCCCTTACAATGGTGAAAAATTTCCAGGGACCCCCTCAAAACCCCATGCTGTTAATGCTAAATAGTTTACTGTTGATTTTAACCCCTAAATGCCATGGTAATATTATTTTTGTTTGGTTTAGTTTGTTTGTTTTATTAGAGCATTGTTCGACGTATGCATTTTTTAAAATAAAAACCAAATTAACAATTTATTGAAATTTTTCGAGGACACCCGAGACATGGCTCGTGGACCCCTGGGGGTCCTGGGACCCCAGTTTGAGAACCTCTGGTCTAATGAAGATAAACACAACACAAAACAACAGATAAATATGATAAAACACAGACTAATGTTGGATGGATGGATGGATGGATGGATGGATGGATGGATGGATGAGGAGACACAAACTTACATCGAGAGCTTTGCGTTTCTTTGCCAGCAGTTTTTCGATGTCTAAGGCCACCTTCTCCACGATCCTGCGAGGCTGATTCTTCACCAGACTAAACCGTCGCCTCTCCTCGTTGTAAATCTGTTCATTTTGAAACAGTGATTTTAGTTTTTGTACAGTACTGTTCTACATAAATCTTTTTGTTTTCTGAAGACAGTAGTGTTTTCAGGAGTAAAGAACTGTATTTCTGAGTGTAATAGAGTGAGTGCTGATATGCAACACACACACATCAAACAGCTGTGTAGTTGCTCAGCTCATTTAGCAGGTGGGTGCTGTGACTTTTGAGTTTGAATCTTTTATACTTTTAAAATACTTTTCCCAACAGAATTAAATTGAGATTTTTATCCAATTTTTTTGTATTTTCAAAAATGTTCTCTTGCTCTCCTTGCTGCAGTTTATTCTTCTTTTACTACTTTTATCTTCTGGCTATTTTGCTACTTTTTAAGCAAACATTTTGATGCTCTTAACTGCATTTTTTTAGCCTGGCCCTTGCCTTCCTACGCAGCTCTGCTCAATTCTAGTTTCCCTTCACTGCTCCGTCTGGGACTTCTCCCATTGACAAGGATTTCGCTGGCAGATTTTTAGCCGGGCCAATCAGAGAACAGAAAGTCAATTTTCTGCGCAGTGTCTGCTTGTAGTTTATTTTACCTGGGCCAATCAGCAAACAGAAGGAGGCGCTTTGAATGACGTTGATGTTCATGCACAGTGTCTGCTAGTTATTTTAGCATACGGCAGTGGAGGAAGCGCATGAAGCCAGTCCGTATTGATAAGGCTTCCAAATTAAAATAAATTAGTCTGACAAAGCAGCAGCTCTCATTTACAGTCGTCTCGTTCAGCTCGGTACTTTTCTCCTCTCAGTAGGGTTGTTTACAGCACACGCGATTTCCGGTTAGCTTCTTAGCTTAGCCTCCTCCACACCGACAACACACACCTGCTTCAGCAGAGGCCACGCCTCCTGCAAGAAATCGATTCTCTATGCATCAAGTCCAGACCCTTGTACGAAGCAAAGTGAAGGACAGGGTCTGGTTAAAAACCAGCATTTTGCTGCTTTTAACTAAATTTTTGCTACTTTTGGCTTTTAGATTATATTCAGCTTATTTTAGCTTCAAACACTCAGTTTCATCTTGTTCAACTAATTTCAGCAAAGTCATTCAGCAGCCATCATTCATTTATGCTGAATATGTTTTTCTCATTTAAAATGTGTTACACAAAACAAATGTTTGGGAGAGAAAAGTACACACTTCTTTTCAGTCATTTGACCATTTCAAAATCATTTTTTGTGTTTGTTTGTTTGTATTTTTGTTTGTTTTTGAGCAAACATCACCTTTACCTGAGCACCCACTCAGAATCCAGGAGACCTCAAATAAAAGGAACAAGATATTAACAGCATCTCTCCAGGTGTGTTGCATGTTTGAGGTCATCAGACTCTCATCCTCACGAGCAAAAATGTCAGAAAGAAGATGCCAAGAAGCCATGAGAGGAGACGAGGAGCGGGGGTATGAGTGTATTTGGCATTCTGTGTGACAGCTTTCTTCCTGTGAACAGATTCTGGGAGTGAACTTCAAGACATTCCTCAGTTTGTGGGCTGACCAGATGCTTTACTGGGCCGTGACACGCAGATGGGAACATGCAGTAATGAACAGGGTGATTTTGTGAACTGTGTGCCATCTGGGGGGAAAAAATTCCCTTCTGCGTTGATCATATTCAGAATGAAGACGTGCCACCGAAGGATGGATGGGATGCAGATTAAATTTAGGATTATAACAGGCTGTCAATCCAACACTTGAACTCCTACAAGGTGACACTGGGGGAGCAGAAACCAGCAGACTTTAAAAGATCTGGTATTTGGTCCATTGATCTTGTCACCACCAAAACATTTTATTGAACTGTGTCAGGCCCCTCACCCAGGACCAATTTACTAAGTAAAACTTTACAAGAGGTGGAACTGCAGTCTCAAATATACTGTAGCTCCTCGCACTAAAAGCCCCAACACAAGGTGGCAGTTCCTGAAGGAGGCCTCGGGGCAGACCCAGAGCTCACAGCAGGTTTCAGGAATCCCTCTGAGAACCCACAAATCTCTGCTCCRGCTTCCACTCAGCTACAGAAAATGTCTGAATAGATGTGCGCATATGACCTTTATTTGATTATTMAGGGTCATTTCTGTTTCAAAAAGCATGACAGAAACCGATTGAATGTGTTGGGTCCGAACTGTTCTCAGTCAACCAGATTCAAGATGGCCGCCACACAGAAAGGCTCAGTCAGTTTAGCAGAGAATGAGTTCAATTTTGACACAATAGTTAGCAGAGGTGTATAGAAACAAAGTGCATTTACTTTGTTGCGATACTTAAAAAAAATGTTATTTAAAGTATTTTTTTTAAATTGTCACTTTTACTTTTGTTTTGTTACAGTCAAAACATAAAAACGATACTTTAAAATGTACCTCCTCATTTCATGCTACAAATTTAAACATGATGGTAACTCATCATGAAACGAGTCATTTATGTGCTCTAAAAAAACAAAGTGTTGGATTTATTCACCAAATCATGTCAACTGTTTCCACTAAACTAAGTTGAGTAAATGTTAAGCAGTTTACTCACTTTGGCTTAGAGTGTGTTTAAAAGTACTTTTACATTTACCGTCAGATAATTGTGAGCAATCTGATGACTTTCATTTATGTAGTCATTTTTTGTTAAAGTATTTTTACTTTTACTTAGTTATTATTTATTCAAGTACTTTATACACCTCTGGTAGTTAGCCAGGACTGACACATTTTATAATAATGTTTAAGACTGTATAAAGCAGGGGTGCCCAAACATTTTCCCCGAGAGGGCCAAAATGAAAATCTATCCACAGCTGCGGGCCAAGTGCAGTAATATAATACATGAAATACAAACATTTTTAAGTAAAGTCCTTTATTTTTAACAATTAAGCTGTGCAATGGCCCTCTTTTGTTTTAGCTTGTGCACTTGGAGAAAGTCTGCCATAYGCTCAAAGGCTCAAGGAACATTTCATAAATTGATAAAATGAGTTTTTGTGGCCTTATAAAGTGTGAAAATCTACATGTGGGGTTAAATCTGCTCTAAATATTTCTTGTCATTTCACGTTTCATGTTTAATCCTAATAAATCAAAGATAAAGTCAGCACCACGAATGAAAACTACCTGCACTACAGCCCTTTCATATAGTCATTTGACCAATGGAAATACTGTGTTTCTACACAGGATAACAGGTTACAACCTTGTAACTTTGGCAACTGTTGGTGGGCCAAATCAAATAGCTTGGTGGGCCAAATTTGGCCCGCRGGCCCCACTTTGGGCTCCTCTGGTATAAAGTTACTTAAAAGATTTGACCCAAACAGCTACTCATCATGAGATGATTTGAATTTAAAACTCTGACATGAAAGGTGATAAACATACTTCAAGAAATGCTGAGTCTTATTTTAAAATGTTTCATCTATTTTATTGATTTAGCACTGATTAAAATGCATAAATGTCACAATATTATAAGAAATCAGCTTTATGTAAATCAGCTGTATACATTTGTCTCAAACTTTAGTTGACCCTGTAATCAGCAGATAAATAAAACTGTTCTCCTAAATTAGAACTAGTTAATTTGTGAACCGAACTTTAAGCAGGATGTCCTTGAGATTTTTTTTTTACCCTCAAATAAAACACTTTCAGAGCTCGGATMAAGAGAACTCTTTAAAAGATCTTTCAGATGTATGGGGGGATTAATGATGACTGAATGAACTAGTGAGTGTCACATCAAGGCATTACTGCAGGCTGACCATCTGCTCTGTGGTGACACCACAAAAAGGACACGTGCTGCTGCTCTCTGCTGAGGAGAGACGCCCCCACACATCTCCCCGTGACACGGCCCAGCACTTTAGGAGTAGTTTTACTACACCCTTGTTTTTACTTTTMTGAAGTATCGCTACTCTGAGTAAAATTTCTGAGTACTCTACCCAGCGTAAGTCCTTTAACTTTTTCAAGCAGAAATGCAGCAGAGAAACACACACAGCTAAGTTTATGTTGAAGTAAGACATCTTGTTTGTACACAAGCTTTGTTATTCTAACACTATTTTCCATCTGCTGAGCCTGATGAGATATTTGCAGGTCATGTAAATTGATTTGATTTGATTTGATTTATTGATTTAACAGGAAAAGATTACTGAAAATCAAATACAGCAACAGTAGATATAGCCACTGGAAGTACTTATATAACAAATTCTGCATAATAGGTTTGGCTGGAATTTATTTTGTAATTATGTTATTTACAGGGCTGATAGCAGAAAAATATCATGAGCCTGAAACCCCCCCCCACACACACACACACACTAATAATTCCATCTTCTGTCTGCATAAATGTTGATAATACCAGAATATTATTACAAAAAATATCAAATTAAAGACAGATTTGTTTTAATTTTCATAATTTTAGCCTTGAAAAACACCAGAATTTGCCCTTAACCTTCTATTGTTTTGTCCGTCTGATGACATCATTTTACAACATTAACTTACATATGATGATCAGTGCTCAAATGGCCTTTCTACAAAATACATTTTTTATTGTTCAATAATTTCTTGGACAGCTAATTTTTACTTTTACTTGAGTAAACATATATTGAAGCAGTGCTAATGATACAGAGAAGTAAACACACAAACACAAGGAAAAACAATATTGCCCTTTCACCTTTCAGCAATGGACCATAATAAACAAAATATCTAAACATCAGCAAAAAATTAATAGCAATGAGAGAGCGAGCTTTTTGTCCATCTTCAAGAAACATGTTATTGACTGTTTATACAATATGTCCCAGAAAAATCATTAAAAATATATATAAATAAATAAGGAGGCAGACTGTACTTGTTGTTTTCTTTTTTTTAATGCAGCTATTTAGCTTCGGCTCAGGAACTTAATGGATTCGCAACTATTTAGTGAGCTGACCTTTCTGCTCGATGCATTCCTTATTGAGTTTACGCTGCAGAATAATGAGTAAGATCCCATAGCACACACTCACCCCTTTCAGCTGCTGAGCTCCAGTGATGTGCTGAAAGACTCTGTCAATCTCCTGCTCGATCCGCCGGGCCCAGTGCATTATCCTGCAGATAAACATCACAGGCTGATTGTCACACAACACAAAACACATAAATGGGATACATGTGTGCGTTTGTGTGTGTGCGTTTCACAGAAATGAAACGTGATGTATCAGAAGAGACAGTTAATCGTTCGTGAACCAAAACCCATATTTTAGACAAAGTGCCTCATTTATCACGAGCTAAAATGTGCAAACACATTCAAAGTGGTAAACGTGTATACAAAAATACAAAGCGCTGAATGACTGCTGAAATTCACTGGAGAAGCAAATGTTTAAGCTAAAACAAGCAAAATTTCAAAAGAAGCAAAAAGGTAGCTAAAGTATTGAAAGTCCAGCTAAAGCCTACAGCAGAAGGCTAAAAGCAGAAAGTGTTGTGAAAGGGATTTAAAGTGCACAAAAAAAATCACTAAAAATAAATAGTGATGGTATATATTTTCAGGAATCTAAAATGGATGATTTTTAAATTCATCACCAAGCATCTGTGTAAAACTGAATAACCAAGGGTAAAAGGTCTTAATGTCACAAAAATAAACACTGAAACTGAACAAAATCCTTATAAAAGATGAAGGGATGTTCCAGAAGCTCAACCATCAGGGTAACACTCGTGCAATAAAACCTTAGAGAAATTTCTCATTAAAAGGCTCCCGACAGCTCATGGTCTGAAAAACCTTCACTGACATCATATGTGAAATCAGCTAGCCTGCTAAAAAAAAAAAAAAAAGGATTTTTTTTTTACCTGTGACTCACTGAGGGCAATGTGACATCCATGTCTGCACTTTATTACCAGCACAGCAGTGAGGGAAATGTTATTTTGGTGACCTATAGTTACTGAAGTGCTTTTCTTTTTTTCTCTGGAACAAAGTCAAGATGGTCAACAACTTTGATGGAGGTTTGATACCCTTTAATCAGCTATTGATCGAAAAGAAAACAGTTTGTGGTTGATTAAAAAGGAGGACATAACTTAAGGCCTCCATGTACCAGAAGTAACCCTTTCAAAGATCCAGCGTATGGGGGATTAATGATGACTGAATGAACTGCTGATTGTCACATCAAGACATTACTGCAGTCTGAATATCTCCTTTAAAGAATGCATATCACCCTCCACTTTGTATGCTAAAGATCACACAACAGCATACTTCATCTAAATAAATGCAGAAGAATCACCAAGACCTAAATGTTTGTTGCACAGTACTGATATTTTGTGACTATCGGTTTCTGCAAAAAATGTTTATTGACCAACGTGACAGAAGTTTGTTCAAAAAGCTGCAACTGAACTAAAATCAGCAAAACATGGATAAAAGCTAAAATTAGCTCAACCAAACTAAAAGCTCAAATTTTCTCAACTGCAGCCAAATGTGAAAATTAGCATAACACAAACTATAGCTGAAAGTTAAAGTTTGGAAAAACAGCTAACAAAGCTAAAATCAACAAAACCCAATCCTAAATTTAGGAAGAGTAGACTAAATAATAGTAAAGTGAGCAAATCCAGTGCAAAACTATTGAGAAGTCTGAAGATAGAGATTGTTAATGCAGATTTTAGAGGAATGAAGAGATTTCAATGTATTTTTTAGAAATTGTCATTTCTAAAATTTAAGTTTAAATTAAAAAAATAATTTTAAAATATTTTGAAAAGTATAAAAATTACATTTTAAAAAATTACATAAAAAAGTTAGAGCACACTCCTGTGGCTTTAACAAATTTGTTAAAATAGGACAAAGTGTGAGGACGTGTTGCAAAATGCTGACTCAGCATTCAAACAATTAGGACCAAAGAAATGTCTGGAGCCACGTAGCTTTGACTCTTACATGTTTTCTTTTAAGACTGAAACTTGTGAGAATCCCACCCTGAACCCAACCTGACCACCGTTTTTTTGAAGCCCTTCTGGGAGCATCCTGACAAGCTGCATCACATCTTGCTGCAGTGTAGCTGACAGGAGGGCTCTGCAGCATGTGGTGAGAATGGCTTATAGGTTCATCAGAGTCTCACTCGCCTCCTTGGAGACCATTTTCAAGAGGAGATTAAAAAAGTAAAGCGGGAGACCTCTCTTATCCTGCCCATGAGCTGCTTAATCTCCTGCCATCCGAAAGAAGAGATCACCATCAAATCAAGAACAACCCGAATGAGCAACAGCTTCATTCCTCTGGCGAGAAGACAACTAACTCCTAATAATAATCTGAAGTGAAATGGTTACTTCTTCTGTTTCTCAAAGTTCAAGCCAAAGAAAAGTTGTGTTTGCCTGTAATAAAATTATTTTATTAAAATCCTGGATGAATTTTAATAAATGGGTTGACGTCCAGCTGTTTAATTTTTGAAGTCAAACCAATTCAAGATGGCCGTCCGTACCAACTGACCGTAGAAAACAAAAAGCGGCTATAATTCAGTGACTTGTACAGATATAAATGTTATGCTTTAGTAGCTCTATTATTCACAATACATGATACTGGGTGAGTCAAAAGTCACAGGACACCCTTTGATTTCAGAAAGAAAAGGGACAATGACATCTGAGTGCCCCAGCAAATAATGAGTGAGGGGACCTATTTTTAGAAAAAGTTGCCCTTGATCCAATATGGTGGCTTTCAAGATGGCAGCCATGTTCTGGACAGAGCCTAAATTGGGAATGGGCAACTGGTGGCCCACAGGCCACGTCCAGACCCCCGATGATCCCCAACAAGCACACAAAGAAAAAAAAAGATTTAAAAAAGTTTTTTTTTACTTTGGGAGGTAGACCAACTGCTCACAAAATTTCAAGGCAAACCGTTGTGTTTAGTCTGCTTAGATGCTTTCTGCCATGCAAGATTTTAACATTCTGTGTCCGGGTCTCTGCCCTGTTCCGTGGGAGTTCCGCAGGGTAGCATACTGGGCCCATTGCTTTTCCTAGTATACATAAATGACCTTCCAAAAATATTGATGTATTCAAATATTTTAATGTATGCTGATGATACTGTTCTTTTTTTGTCTGATTTCAATATTGAACCTATTAATAGTCAGTTACAAGCAGATCTTCAGACATTTCATGGTTGGCTTCAAGATAATCTTTTGTCAATTAATGTTAAAAAACTGTGTGTATTTTTCCTCACCCAGGAGATATTTCAGTATAACAAATCAATTCACTTCTTTAAACAATCCCCTTGATATTGTCACTACCTACAAATATCTTGGAATTACTTTGGATTCTCATTTGACTTATCDYGATCATGTACAAGTCTTAACCACTAAGCTGAAACAGAAATTATACGTTTATTCAAAAATTAGATCCAATCTGACATCTTTTGTTTCAAATATCTATCTTCATGCCATTATACTCTCAACCATGTCGTACTGTTTACCTGTTTGGTCTCTTACAACAAATGAAATCTTAGAACCCATAGTTAGGCTCTACAACAGGGCCTACAAAATTCCTAAAAAACTTCCTGGTTGGACTCATCACTGTACAGTTCTTTCATTGTCTGATGCCTTGACTTTTCAGAATTATGTTTTGTATAGTGGTATTAATTTATATTTTCAGATCTTCCAAGGTGCCAATTATGGAACTCTCTGTGCATTGCTGCCCAAATCAAATTCTGGAAGTGGTCATTCAACTAGATCTGTTACAAAAGGACAACTGATATTACCAACTTTTAAAAACTGTTACGGCCAGAGGTCTTTCTTCTATGTTTATACTAAAGCATGGAATGACATTCCTCAAAAATGAAAAATGTAAATGAAAGGTAACAAGTGATTCCATCAAGGTAGGCCACACAAAATCAGAATCTAAACCTTGATCTACAGAGTGAGCTTTTTCGTGATTTTAACTATTTCTGTTTTCTGTCTTGAGATTTCTGAATAAATACAGTACACCATTCCTTAACTAAACTATAATTAACTGYGCAGAATATCTTTGTATTTGCTTAACGGTGGCATATTTAACCTAAATAAGTGCTGGAGAATCATCAAACCCTAATCTGCAATATCAAAGCAACCCACTCATTTTTACACATCAAATCAGAACAAAAGTCCCTTCCTGCCGTGTAAGAATGAACATTTTTTTCTTCAACACCATGTTGAGGTGTGAGCTGAAGAACTAAATGTGCTCAAAATGAAACCAGACAACATATACAGTATTATGTTCCAGGTTTCATTTCATGACCATATCCACAACAGAAAACACATATAGATGATAAACTGTAAGATGCTGCAACATAAAAAAACACAAATTTCACTCAGTCCAACGACATTTTAAAGCCATTTGAACCTTCATCCTCCTGGCTGAGAACCGAACACGTTTTAGCTTTCTACCTGTATTAGCTCAACCAGGAAATGCAGCTTAATGCCCAGAAAATCATCCTTGGATGCTGTAAGTGCCCAGCGAGTGGATTCATTATCAGTAAGACAGCTCGGAGCAGAGTTACGAGACAGCGCCGCAGATTAAAGCTTCGTTGAGCTTGTTCCTGCTGTCAGATGAGCCACAAATCTTCACTCGGCTGCCCGGTCTCACAGAAAGATGCAGCTTTTTGGATGTTCAAAAAGCATTCCTTCACTGGTTTGACTCTAGTGGAGCTGAAAAAAAAAACCCAGCTCGGAGCTGACAAAGAAAAGCCAGCTTCTAGGACAGTGTTCTTTACTTTCATCTTCTTTTTGAAGACGGATTCAGGGTTTCAAGAAAGATGGATCAACAGTGTGAAAACCAAATGAGTGACATTTTTTAAACTCAATATTATAAAGGTTGATTTGAAGAAACAACGGTTTTATGTGTTTCTGCTTAAGGCAATTAGGCAGAAAAGAGCATCAGACTCTTCTTTCACCTCTCCTTCCTGACAACTTAAAATAAAGCATCAATCAGCTAATTCTTGGCATAACTTAAAAAAACTTTTGGGTGGAACTGCAAACATTATAGTGAGCAACAGTTTYTTACTACAGTCAGGCTTTTCAAAACAAAATGCTAAAAAGCAAATTGGGGAAAATCCAGAATGTGATTTTAAGTTTTAATAAGCTAGCAAATTTACATGTCATGTTGCGGACAGGGAT